TGTGTGTGTGTGTGTGTGTGTGTGTGTGTGTGTGTGTGTGTGCACGCGTGTATGTATGTATGTATGTATGTATGTATGTATGTACGTCCGTCATCATTTAGAACAAAGTATTGTTCCTAAGTCATATTCTTCTCTCTGACAGCCATAGGGACATTATGAAGAAGCCACACAGACATCCCAAGAGACAGTTTGTCCTTGGAGACGTCCCTGCAGCAGCAAGAAGAGATGGTGTTTTGCACTGTTGCATTGAACTAGAAAATACCTGACTTTATTTATGAAAGGATTATATATTTTTGTGTGTAATCTTTTTATATTATTTAGGTTGTACAAACATACATAGTTAAATTAATAGATCAGATAAATGGAATATATAGATGAATATTTAGGCCACTGGGGCATAAGAAAAATCTAAATATTTATAAGCACAGCTATACATACCCAGCATATGAAACTGTGATGCCAGCCACTTTGGAGTTCTCACAGCCCATGACCAAGAATAAGAGAGACAGGAAGTAGCCCAGTAGTGAAGTCCCAAAGGCAAATTTAACTGCTCCCAGGACACCCAGCTTGTACTTCTTCATGACAACCCCTCCAGAGAGCATCCCAAGGGCAACAGCTGGGATGTTAATCATGCCTAGCAAAACCAAAGAACAAAACTCGTCCTTAAAGGGATACAGAATCAAGGAAACAACAAGCAGCACAGAAAGCAACCAGACTTTCCAAAAGCGATCAAAGTCAGAAGACTTATTCATATCCAAGTAGGCTCATTTATACTCATGTAAAACAAGAACTGAAGCAAAAGCTGGTTTTGATCACTGAGAAGAGATTAAATGAATCATCCAGCATGCTTCTGACAAACTGTTGTTGCTTAAGAAATCTACGTTGTTACAATGTTTCCATCTGCAACATATTGTTTAACTGGCTCCATTTATCTGTGTGATTTGAAACCAATGATTTTGTTTTCAAACAAATTGTTGTAAAGCTGGTCACCAATGAGATATGCATAGGTGGAAAGCAGTTATCTAACACTTTTATCAAAAAATGGGCCTGTTAGAAAAACATGTGTTGTTCAAAATGGTATGTCCGAATAAACAGGATTCAGCTGGGTTTCTTGTTAAAAACTTTATTTTCAGTCCTCTGACTCCAATCAGGTTCATACAGCACTCAGCACACAGGCCTCATACAGACCTTGGGCTGATATCAGGAAAACCCAAACACAGCAGCGCAACTCTGCTCAGAAGCAGAGACTCTAACACACTTGACAACTTTCTTTTTTCTATAATAATGAATTCAGCTTATAATGTACATCTCTTCCTGGTTACACCCTTGGAGGTGTTACCTTTTACGTCAGACGTCAGAACTTCACTCAGTTTTGTTTAGGCTAAGAGAAAGAACACATGGTAACACACACACACACCAACTCTTTGTCAGCTTCAACCTTACAGACTGAAATGATCAGAAAGTATAAAATACAAAACTGAATCTAATATTCAATTAATCAGTTACAAAATTTCTTCAGACCATGAAAAAGCTTCTGAAGACATGGCAGCCCACATCAGACTTTCAAAACAGCAGCATATCTAAATATTTTTGCTCACCCATAAGAAAATTGGCTTTTGATGCTGAGTAGCCATAATGTAGCTCAGTGTATTTAGACTTGTAGGTGGCCATACCAATGAGAGAGTTTAACTGAATTGTCACCACACACAGGTAGATGATGTATACAGGGTTCCCAAGAAGGCTCTTTAATGTTGGCACAAATTCTGTGTAGTATAAATTAAATCAGTTAACAGTGTGTGTGCAATAATGTCATTATTATAGAAAGTAAAGAAATTATAAGAACATTTCAAATACCATATTGATGTCCTTTTAATTAATAATTTATTTAAAACAACCCTAAAGACTAAGTAACTGTTGTTATACCTTTAGCCATCAGATGTAAATTAGCCGGCTCTTCTGGTTGGAGCTTGTGATTCATGGTGATAAACCTGGTCTGGTCTGGAGTGCAGCTGCCATCATGTTTATCTACAGGAATTGGCAGTGACTTAGGCAAGAACCAGAAAAGAACACCAGACATGAGGGTGATGATGCCAGCAATGAGGTAGCCCAGCCACCATGCTCCCACCCAGTGGACATCGTCAGGCATGATGGTGACTGATTCGGTGAAGAGATCCAGTAATAATTACTTTAGTTAAGCCTACATCTCACAGGGCTGTGATTGTTGGCCACACAAGATTGTTTATTGGTCATTGGTGTACTCTGTATCTGAAGGTTTAAGGTGTCCTGATGAATTTGTTATTGGCAGTGTGTATTTTGCACTTTCTTTTACCACAGTCACATGCAAACAACTTCTAAATCCATCTGTAAAATGCAACCTACAATATCTATTTTATACTTTATCACTCTTTCTCACCCATGTCTACATATCCAATATCAACATAGACTTTGGTGCATAGTGACTCCAGCAACAATCCAAATGCAGAACCAATAACGCCAAATGTTTGAACACAGCCTGAAATATAAACCACAGACTGACTCAGTCATCCAGCATCATTTAGCTCAAGATGTAAAAGGGACTAGAAGTCTAAACAATTTTTACTAAGGCTCAGTTATTTAGTTAGGCATTTACCATTTCTCACCACAGTACCATAGTTTTCAACTTTTATATTTTTCTATTTACAATGTAGTCTTTGATGAAGCAATGACCATATTGTTGATCTTTATATTGCATTTGTTTGGCTCAATAGCAACAACAAAATGCATTACTAAATGTGCATAATGAGGAAAAAAAAGGTAATTTACTGATTTAGTGTTTGGGAATCTAGACATAAGGGAAACCAGAATTGATGATGTTTTGTATTATTTATTAAAAGTCTACAGTGTATGTTTGATTCATATTGTGATAAATTGTATAAAAACTTACATTTATTATTGAAATCTTTAACCCTCAGACAAAAATTGTCAGCTGTGAGTTAAAGGGATTACCATTATACAAAGCAGAATTCTCAAACTCAGCATAATCATCAATATACAAGATTCCCAAAGGCTGCGAAGTGTTTTCCTGTGTGGCTCCTCCCCCAGTTTACCCACCAAGACACCGATGGGTCTTGGAGAGGAGACCGTGTCTCCTTCTTGGTTTGGAGGCGATGGACCAGACTTAAAGCCACCTGGGGTGGCCTGTGTGGCTGAGTCCGGCGTGTCTCCTCCAGGAGACAGGGACGGGAGCCTTTAGCTCGGCCTCTAGCTGCCTTCCTTCCAGTGGTCGCTCCCTTCGTGAACCCCGGCCTCTGGATCAGCGCAGTAGCTCAGGACGCCTCCAGCAGCCGGTCACCACTGTTAATGGTAGCCGCTCCCTCTTGTGATCTGCACTTCTTACAATGACCGAGATAATGTTCAGTGACCTGGACAGCAGGTCTCAAGGGAACTGTTAAAGGGAGTTATCCTATCTCCCCAGGCTAATAACCATTAAAAATGAACTTATTATTAAGTTATGACCTCTTATCATTACCTCTTGGCTTCAAAGTAAACACACTTGTAGCATTTTCCTGCATATAAATAATAATTTCTGATTAGATTTCACTTGTTCCTATGACAACGGCTCAGGAAGGAAGAAAAACCTCTACTTTGACTTCAGACTATTTTCTAAAGACTTTTGCATGGAACTTCCTTTGTGGTTTGAATTAACATCTCTTACACAAACCCCCACCAGATGTCCTGACACCTTACTGTTAATAGATAAGGATTGCCACATTCCTGTTCCGAACCCCACAAGTTCTGTTGCTTCCATCCCCATAAGCACAGGACTGTCTGTTAGTTCCTCTTCAAAGGGATCATAAATGCCTTTAACCAGACTCTTCAGCGTGACTGAGAACAAAGGACCTACATTTTTCATTAAATGTGAAAAAAAGGAGAAAAGATAAAGGAATCTGTGTATCTAATGTTTTCTGTCTTATTGCAAAGAATGTCATCTAATCCATTTTTCTTACAGAAAAGAATTAAAAAGACCATAAAGGATCTACTAAGTTTTGCTTAGTTAACTATTCAATAGCTGTGTGTATTGTGGTGTTAATTGTTTTGATGAAATGTTTTCCTGAAGAAGATGTGTGTTTTATTCCATGATTTAATCCTTAGAAACTTTAGGACTTGAATCTTTAATAATTACTCTAAGTGTGACACTCTTATTTTACTGAGGCAAGCAGATGTCTCTCCCTTTTAATTAGATGCAAGATAGCTATGTGATGTGAGTATGAGTCACCTGTGAACGATGGCCATGTGATGTGAGTATGAGTCACCTGTGAACGATGGCCATGTGATGTGAGTACAGTCACCTGTGAGCGATAGCCAGGTGATGTGAGTAT